CATTGTTGAGACAACAAAAACACCTGCTTCGTCACAAACCGCAACCTTGCATACATGATTGCATCACATGCCACTGCGGGCACACATACTTAAAAAGGAGTAATCATGATGTACAGACTAGGGTCAGCGAACAATATATACCTGAATGGTTTGAGAAACAGATTAACACACAAACATTGGTAAGTCCAGGTAACACACAACCATCGTCATCAAATAAATCATTAGGTTAATAGGAAAACACCATTTAGGATATTATATAGTAACAGTCAGGGGGCGCATACTGGAATTCGCGGAAGCATTAGCCATTCGTAAACTGTAGTCCCCCTTCTTATGTGTACAAAAACTCACCTTGGTAATCTGATTATATTACCAAGACTAGTGTCATAACCTTTTCATTTTCATATATAAATTGACTTGAGATAAGTAAAATTGTTAGGGATCAGATTGTTAAAAATGTTGTGTTGAACAAATACATCACGTGTTGTTCAGATAATCTTCGTCTTCTAATACCGTTATCGTAATTTGTCAAAGGGACTAATTGTTCCAACGAAATATATCAGCTGAAACAGGGCCAAGAGGTGAACCCATAGCTATTACATCAATTTGTCTATAATGAGAGCTAGCGTGACAAAAAGTACATTTAAGAGACAGCTGCTTGAGGATGTGTACAGGAATCTCGATGCTGACCTGCCTTTCAGACATTTGTTGACATACAAACTCTGCCGTCTCCAGTAATGGCACATTATTGAATCATGATGAGATATCAAGCGACAACATATGTTTTCCGTTTACATTCGGATTATCTTACTTAGAAATAAATTCAAAGACGCGTCTTTTGCACTATGGCTAACTAATTCTTTGTGTAAGGGATCTAAAATCCTTACTAACCATTTAACAACTGTGTGGTATAGGGAGTCGGACATGTCTAAAACTGAGTAAATAGCGAGTCAAGGGTTGTGTACTTTAGGTGTAGACCATACAACCTGTAGGTCTAAGTGAGTCGTATGTTGACTCAGAAATTGTCCCACTTTCTTTTAGTTTCTTGAGGGTGTTGCCAACAGTATAAAAATACCATTTATTTCACAAAGGTATACTTACGAAACAACATAGAGAAGCTTTGTCTAAGCTGAGAAAAGATGAAAAGCTAATAATAGTAGATCGGACAAAGGAGTAGGCTTAGTGTTGTTGAAAAGAGGTGACAATATTAATACAATGACTATTCTTCTTAATGATCAAATAAAGTTCCAAAGATATGGTGACTCTGCCGAATTGAATAGAAAAGAAGAGAAGGAGATAATAAACACCCTAGCTTGATGGCCATATTGTAAATATGATAGATAAAAATCCGGTCTGTACTCAGAACTAGATGATGGCGTGAAATTGGAAGCAGTTTCATGCATAGTTACACATAGTATAGGTGATTTCAATCCAACTTTGTATTCAAAAAAGATTTGTTGAACCACTTAGATTACTGGGGACGCCAAAATGTTGTATTGTTCAAATACATCACATGTTGTTCAGATAATCTTTGTCTTCTAATAGCGTTATCGTAATTCAAAGGTTTTTGTTCATCTGAAACTGTTCACATCAGTTGTGATCTTGGACAAATTCAACTGTCAACTAGTTAAGATTGTGTCAAATTAACTTCAACTGACAGTTGATCTACAGGGGGTTTCTATCCATCGAGTTGAGTTTAGAGGCTGAAAACAATATCCTAAATATACTAATAAGCAGAATGAAAAATTGGTGAACATTCACACCAATACTCGAGTTTCATTAACCAACAGTTTATCAGTAACCTTCGATTCATAAACAACAGACTAGTTAGAAGGAAGTCATTCAGTTTTTTCTCTAAGTAGCCTATCCTAACACACATTTATGTCAACTCATTTCAGTTTATAACATACTATGTCCTATTGTATTTTCTTTTCAGTCTTACTCTTTTCTTTATGCTCACCAAACTCTGTCCTGACCACTTTATGGCGTTGTGTGTGTGTGTTTGGATGACCTTGTCTGTCTGATTGTCAGCTATGACCTCGTTATCGTGACGTCATTGCATAGAGTAGATTAGCATAGACAAACACCTGTTTTCTTTTAAAAGTTCAACGACAACTAACCCTTAAGGTATAAAAATAAATAACAAAGATGACCTCTGGCGATCTGTTCGGTCGATTAACCATTAACTATGAATATGTCTACTTATGTACATATTTAATCGTTGTCTCTTATCTTTGAGGTTAATGGGGCTTTTATTTTTCAGATATTATTCATTGCTGACTGATATCAGTTGGAGAACCATTGAAAGTGTGGGAGCACTGAATAGCTGTTTCGTCTCTGTACGAGACTTCTCAGCAGTGCGCGTCCACGACTCAGCTAGCGGCCGAACTCAGGACCTTCAGGTTCTCTCATGTTAACTATCCAGTTTCTGAATCGGAGTTCAAAGGTCTACAGTTTCTTATTCAACCGTGGAATGGCTAACGCGTTTGCTGTGAAATCCGAAGATCCCTGGTTTGACCCTCGATGTGGTTGTGGGTACGTACTGCTGAGGAGTCCTATACCGGGACGAAACAGCTAGTTGTTTAAGGCTTCTGGGTTTTCAGTAGTTCTCTAACTGTTGCAGTCCGTGATGAATACTACATTGAAGACAAAATCCCCATAAATGTCTAACTTATGTATGCTTAGATTGGTATTCATCATGGACTGACATTAGTTGGAGGAACATTGGAAACGTGAGCTCTGGACAGCTGTTTCATCCTAGTATGGGACTCTTCAGCAGTACGCACCCACCCAGGACCCTCAGGTCTCGTGGTCAGCACGTTACCACTGAGCCACTGGTCCATATTTCCTACTTTTGTCAGTTCATGACAGCGCGGCCTACATCTGTGACGGGATCATGGGTGTTGCACTGCTGAGGAGTTCCACTCTAGGACGAAATAGCTATCCGCTGCTTCCTGCGTTTTCAATGGTTCGCCAACTGATGTTAGTCCATAGTGAATTTCAACCTGAAATCAATTAGTAGGTCTGTACAAACCTCCAGATGTGTAAATTTGACTGAAAAGTCCTATCATCAGTAGCAGTAATCGTTATATATTATCCTCTTTCTTTGTTATTCTTTTCATTCTCAATTCCTGAATCTTCTATTCATTCATCTAAAGTTCAGTTTGTGTTTTCCATTCGTGAATTTATAACTCCATTTTTGAAGAAGATTTCCAAGAGTGTATTATGTTGAAAGTCAGTTAGTACTGAATACTGTTTACCTCGCCAGAAAGAATAAGCAACAAGGAACTCTGGCTGGCTGGCAACGAACCAACTAAGAACCTATCGCTCAACAAATATGCAGAAGGAAGTGGAGATGGATTGAGCATAAACTGAGAAGGCCGACTGGGGGCATCACGCGCCAGGCCGGGTCGTCAAGTGAAACCCAGATGGGAAACGACGAGTTGGGCGTCCGAGGTGAGAGTGATATGGAAGAGATGAGAGCTTGTTGGCTGTCGTGGAGCGAGATTCAAAAGTTTGCAGAGAACAGAGTGAACTGGAGACGTACTACTGAAGCCCTATGTTCCACTAGGAACCCAAGGGACAAATGATAATCATACTGTTTACCTCAATAACCTGTGTTTGTTGACCCTGATCTGTAGGAACAGGCTGACCTGTAACCTCAACTATGTACTCTTATCAATCAGTTGTTTAGAGTATGACTGTCTCCTGGTAGATTAAGTCTTACTCGACGACCTATTCACTGTTATCTCCCAGTGAACTAAAGCTTCATATCAGTTAATCATAATCAAGGCATACTCTTTATGTATTGATTGGTCATGGGAGTGTAACCAATTTCATATTGTCTAGTCCTGAGTGCAGACCGAATTCTATCGATCGTATTTACAATGTGGCAACCAAGCTAGGAAGCTCAGCATCGCGGTGCAACTAACATCTACTAATGTGCACCACGATGCTGAGCTTCCTAGCTTGGTTGCCACATTGTAAATACGATCGATAGAATTCGGTCTGCACTCAGGACTAGACAATATGAAATTGGTTACACTCCCATGACCAATCAATACATGTAAGCCAGTCCTACAGGAGGCCAGTTACGGCTGCAATAGCTCAGTGATAAAGTCGCTAACTACGAAACTGGGTGACGTGGGTTCGAATCTCAGGCGGACATTGGTTCCGTCGAGAATGCTAAAAAGTATGAAACCTAGGTGAGGCAGGGCTTCCTGCCGATTGCCTCCTACCAACTAGCATACTCTTTATTTCAATAGCTTTTGATTAACACTGAGTAGTTATCAGAAGACATGATCAGTTAGACTGAACTTTCAGATTAATTTTTCATTCATTTGGAAATATGGTTTTCAATATAGTTTTTCACTATACTTATAAAAAGTGAAACGTCTAGGTGTTTAACGTGAGGAAGAATTTCTGAGCTCCAAAAATTAACATTGAACCTCTCAGACACAAGTGCATAGGTTCAATTTGGCAAGCATTGCAGTAGCCTGAAAAGTAAAAGGATGATATCAATGTAGAGGTGGGAGAGAATAAGAACTTGGAAGCTTTGGAGTGAATACATCTGCGCCGCCATTGTGACTGTCATCAAGAGTCTTCAGTTACTAATTCCTTTTGTCTTGAAGACCCTAGCCAAGGTAGTTTACATTTACCTACACGGCTCAGTCCAACAGTTAGTAGAGACTTCATGCATTGGTGCCACATTTTGGTCTAGATATCCTGAATCCTCTTCGAACTACTCCTGATATGGCATGTTAAGGTGGATGGTGGCTGAGCATGGCCAGTACATGTCAAAGCCACCTCAGTCTTTGAAAGTCCTCAACCTCATCCACTGACTTACTCGTTTTGCTTTGTACCCTTCCCCATACATGCTATGAAGACGCTTCTGAACGCGTCATATTTACTTTTTAACGACTGTTTAAAAAAAATTTATACTCACTTTTTGTTCATAAGATTTCATTGATTAGTTTTGTTTTATTGTTTTATACCTTTTCTAGGGATAATCTTGGTCTAGACTTAAATCCATATAATATTGTTCAAGGTAAATCGTTTACACGATCTGTATCAATCAGTGAGCCTACTTCATCGGGTATATCAACTTCACCTGGATCTAATACAATCTCTCATAGTGCTATAACCGGCTCTTGTTTACCGTCTGTACGATCTGCTAGTGGTGAAGGTGGCAGTACCTCATCAGTTATCTCATATTCACCATTCTCATCAGCTGCAACCGCCATCACACCTGAAAGTCCACTTCCAGATCCTAGTTGTTTCCAATCGAATCCATTATCATCTCTGTTAATAATCAATAATCTTGAAGAGAAAGAGAAGGAGACACCTGCAGAAGCAGTCACATCTATCCAGGAGTCTATGAGCATGTCGTCTACACATAATGAAGGTATCCCAGTTCACAATGATAATACATCTATTAAACCATCAGAGTGTTTGACTATTTCGCATGAATCAATTCATGACGAGTATAATGATGATAGTCAAAGTATATCCGTTCAACAGAATTTCGATCATGATACACAAAACTATGCTATACTCCTTCAAAATCCATATATTTTAAGAACAGTCAATTTTCTTTCACATTTACTTGATTCTCGTTTATCACCTGATTGGCGTCTACCTTTGGAATATTGGCAAAGGAATTGTCTCCGATTGAATTGTTATCCCTCTAGTATTAGTCAACCTCAACATCAGTCTACTACTACTACTACTACTGATGTCGCACAGAGTAATAATGATGAAATAGATGTTACAGACTTTACCCCATTACAGCATTACACAATAGCTGGGATGAGTTCACTCCAATCCCCATCTGATCAAGAAGAATGCTCAGTGAAACGTTTCAAACCGAATAATTCACAAGTAAGTGGTTGTATACTTGATTACTGTTTATTAAACAATACTTGTGTACTTATCAGTGTAAAGAGATAACTTTCAACCAATTGATCACGAGTTCGAATTGTTCTCTATCTACTAAGGTTTCAGCTAGCCAACCAGAGGGAGAGTATCATTAGCACCTTCCACACAGTTAATGAGGTTCATTGCCTACTGCATGAATATGCAAAAGGTTGTCTATTGAATATTGATTTTCAATGGGAAGAAGTTCATTAGCATCTAGAAACCAGAAAATCACTGAGATAGTTTCAAGTCTCTTAGTTAAACATTAATGTCGTTTGTGTGTGTGTGTGTGTGTGTCCATGTTGTCCACACAAACTACGTTAAAGGATTGGTTCAAAAAATGTCCCATTCAACTATTATTACAATTACTGACAAATATTATTGGAGATAATAAGACTTCGTAAAAGTACCCTGTAAACTTATAGTAATGATGGATAGTGGCTAGCAGTGGAATCCAAGATGCACATTCTGTCCTATTTAGGACTCGTCAGTTGGATGTACCTGCCTCCCAGTGAATGATGTTGTTCTCACCGGGATTCGCACTTGCGACCGATCGCTTCAAACGCTAGAATGTTATCCACTACATCACCGAGCCCATGATAGCCACTTCGTGTGCGGCGGGTATAGTTTTAGTACTATTGCTTGTATTATATACCGTCGTTGATTGTACCGAATTGATCGGTCTATCATGACTCGGTAGTGTAGTGTGTCACCTGCGGCACCAACTGGCAAGATATCTGAGTATCTATCAAAGGTTAAGTATACTGCATTGGAGTTCGTTCTGTCCTGTTATACAGCTGTAAGACGTGGCCGTTGAAAGTAGAAGACATGAAGAGACTACAGAGAGTCTTCGTAGCAGCGCTCACGTTTGGTGGAATTACTATGTGATGAATGTTGAGGTTAGTCAAGCAAAGGGTACTAGGCAAGACAAGCAAGTCCGTCAATGAGGTCGTTAACCTTAGTCGACCGAGATGGCTTGGATATCTGTTGCACACGCCGAGCCACTGTCTACCTCGATGTATGATGCTTGGAGAAGTTGGATTAGGTTGGAAGTGAGTTCAGGGTGGCCAGACCAAGATGTGACACCAGTCGGATGATGTCTTTGACTGTTGGTTTGTCATGTAGGTTAGTGTAGGCTGAGGTCACCGAAATGATAGGAATCAGCGGTTGGGGACTCTCAGTGACAATGGGACAGATGTATACACTAACCATTATCTTCAAATTGTTTATTCACTCACATGACTTTGTCTACTTTAATATCACTTTTTCTATTCACTTGTTGTTTGTATGCTACTCTGAAGTGTGACAAGTTGAAACGGTGTGCTTGTGTTAAGGAGTTCTTACGTTGATTTTGTCAATCAGTCTTGTCGACGACATCTGCATCTCAGTAATGTACTTTTTTTACATCTGTGACTGAAGTTGCAGCTAAAAACCAGTCGGTTACTAGGTCTTGTAGCCCATCTAGTGGAATGCTAAGCTGGTAACCTGGAGTAAGGGTTGTTGGTTCGAATCCTGTCGACGACCAAGATTTTTTCATTTCTTCAATCATCACTTTGTATCACGAATATCATTTCACCAAACCACGGCGAGTTTCACTAATCATAATAAATTTAACTGAAATCTTTTGAACCTGGCTCCACTACAGCCCTGTAGCTCTCATTTCTTCCTCGCACGATCTCCTCCATGTTACCCTCGGACACAACTCGTCGTTTCTCATCTGGGTTCCACTTGAGGGCCTGGCACATGATGTCCCCAGTCCGGTCTTCTCAGTGTATATCCAATCGAATCCATCTCCACTTCCTTCTCCTGCATATTTGTTGAGTGATTGGTTCTTGGTTGGTTCGTTGTTAGCCAGCCATAGTTCCCTGTTGCTTATTCTTTCTTGCCTTATCATCTGATCTTCAGTAACGAGCGTAGGTGGGGGTTGTTGATAAATGTCTGTAGTTTGTTAGAAATGCCTTTCGTAATGCGCCAAGTTTCTGAACCATCACATAGCAGCACTGACTTGACTGGATTGGTGTTGAAAATCCGGATCTTGTTCTTTATACCGAATGCAGATCTGCACACTGGTTTCAGGCTAATGAACGCCTGTCTTGCTGTCTTTCCAATCCTGGCTGGGTTTGACGTCCTCGTCTGTGCCACCTGTAGTTGAAATGATGCTACCTAGATAGGTGAGAGAGGCTACTTCCTTTCAGTTTCTCCCGTTGATGGTGATTGAAGCTTGTTGTTGTTGATGGTTGGGTATCTCCATCACCTCTGTCTTCTCTGCGTTCACTTGAAGTCCCGTCTTCGCTGACTTGCCTCTTCTGTCAACTTGTTGGTTTTCGCCTGTAGATCTTCCAGTTTGTGTGACATTAGACACAAGTCATCATCGGTGAAATCCAAATCTTCTAGGATCTTTTCCCCGGTCTAGCGTATCCTCATCTTCTTGCTCCTCACTGTTTGTTGCATGATCCAGTCTACCACAATGAGGAAGATCATGAGTGATAGTAGACAATACATACAAGGCTTTCAACTTGATTTGCAAGGTTCCTTGCACTAGATAGTGGTCTGAGCCTACATCTGCTCCTCTTCTTGACCTTGTGTGAAGTAGGCTGCGTCTCCACTTTCTTGAGATTGAGATAAAGTCGATTTGATTTTTAGTGTGTCCATCTGGTGAAATCGAATCCATGTCGCTTTGGGATATCTTTATGCTTGAACACAGTGCCTCCAATCACTAAATCGTTGAATGCGCAGAATTCTGCACATTCTTCTTGTGTTGTTCGCTCCCAGTTTCGCATTCATGTCGCCCATTAGAATTTTGATGTCGTCAACTGAAGTCTTGTCCAGTGTTGACTGCAATTGTCTGTAGAATTCCTCCTTCTTCTCTTGATCTGCATTATTTGTAGGTGCGTAGCGTTGCATTGTATGATTGCGACTATCCTATCTTTTGAGTTGAACCTTGCTGTCATGCTCCTTTGAGGAGATTGGTTCCCACTATATGAGAGCCTTCGATGTTGTACTTGGGGACATCATGATGGCCACTGCATCCGTGTGCTCGTGGTTGTCATCTGGGTGACAATATCCGAGTAGATTATTGACTCTCCAGCTAAGAGTTCAGAAAGTCCACTTCCATTCCATCTGTTTTCGCAGATTCCTGGCACTTCAACGCTATACCTTCTCATCTCTTTTGCAATCTGGGCAGCCTTGCTAGATTCAAACATTATTCGAACATTCCATATCCCCATTCTTACTTTGGCTTTCATCGAGAGAAGACGCATCGGCCAGTTGGCTTCCCGAAGGCTTTCACCAACCGGCGTCCTTTCGCCTCTCCGATTCCAGCGAGGAATAATTTTGTTTTTATCATTTATATTTTGTTTGTGCTTTGAAGTTTCCTTAGCGGTTTGATTGGTTTTACGGTGTAGGGTTGCTAGCCCTATGCCCAACCTTCCCTCTTTACCCAGGCTTAGGACCGGCTAGTCACTAGTGAACTAGTTAACCAGGCGAGCTTCGGCTAACCTATGGTCCCATGTTTTCAATGTTCTTTCACCTGATGTCAGTCCATGATGAATACAACGTTTTCAAAACTAGTCAAAGGTTAGCTGTTTATACGATAATAGAATGAACATTCGAGGGAAAATAGGTTATTGGAAGATTAGCAACAGTATCTTTGTGAATACATAAATCTGGTTTCAGTCTTTGGATTACAACTGCTAGAGAACAGACGGCAAAAGAGTGAATTTTATTTGTTTATTGATCACTTGGAATTACTTTAATACGTCGAATTTATGTCCAATATCAAGCAGATGCTAAGCGGTTGCGCTATTTAAACTCTGGGGAGTCTCGAGACTCAAATTCTTTGAGATATGTTCAGAAATGCGGGAAATTAACTTTCTCTCTGTTCTTCCAATGTATTTGCTTCGACACGTATATATATATGAATTGATGAATACAGTTGGAGGTGTCAAGAATAGTCTGATACACATAGACTAACTGGGTAGGTGAATTTTATTTCAGCACAGCCTATGACTCATTTGTATGGGGATTTCATCCTCTTTTGAAAATGTTCGCTAAATGAGTTGAGATTGTGAATTTGTATCATATCGAAGCGGAAAAACAAAGAAAACGATGGAGTGACCACTTCAGAAAAAGTTTTGAATCGACCACCACCAGCAATGCAGCCACAGGTGAAAGCAGAAGTGCTGAACGCCATAAAGTTGTTGAAATCTGGCAAAGCAGCAGGACCAGATGGAATTCCTACAGAAGCACTGAGAACAGATGCAGAGACAACAGCGGACATACTACCACACCACTATTGCAGAAGGTTTGGAAGTAAGAAAAGGTACCTGCTGATTGGGAGAAGGGTTTCCTTGTCAAAATCCCGAAGAAGGGTGACCTAAGTGTTTGCAAGAACTGTCGCAGAATCATGCTCCACTTCTGTTCACACCAAGCAAAATATTACGCCTATACGTACACCTAAGGTGGAGAGGAGGTTTGAACCCGTGATCCACTCACTGGTCATGAAAGTTGAATATCTACACAGTATTGAAAAAATCCATTGGTTTTAAATTTGGACACTGTGGCAGAATGTAATTCCATACCAGATTTGTTTATTTGATTTGTAACACACAGTGACCCAGTATTATCTGATGATGTTTCAAGCATAAGTTACCATTATGATAATTTGGTTGGTCGTGGCTAGCAGAAGAATCCAGGACGCGCGTTTCGTCCTATTTGAGACTCGTCAGCTGGACGTACCTGCACCCCAGTAGTGTTGCTCCCACTGAGACTCGGACCTCATACCCATGGCTTCAAACACCAAGGTGTTATCCACTATGCCACGGAGGGACGATAGCCACTTCTACAACGGGTAGTAGTTATTACTATTTATTGACATACTTGTTATTCTCCGTTGTTTGTTATGTTGGATCGAATAGTTCTACCTCTGTCGGCATATGGGCTCCTATGCGGATGCCTCGATCTTG